CAAGGCCTCATCCCCCCCCACCGGAGGACCTGGGGGGGGAAGAAGAGCCCCCAGGATGGTGACTGGGGGGGGGGAAAGTGTGGGGTGGGGGTGTCTTCCCTCCTGCCCGGGCACCGGGGGCAGAAAGGAGCTGGGAGACATCAGAGCGGTGCCATCCCACATCCCGGTGCCATCCCGGGCATCTCCCTCCATCCTGGGGGAAAACCAGGCCAAACCAGGCAAAGATGGAGCTCGGCTTCCCCCAGCTCCTGCATCCCCCCTCCCCGGGCCAAGTGAAGCTCCCGTGGGGGCCCCCATCCCAGGGGGTGTCTTCCCTCCTGCCCGGGCACCGGGGGCAGAAAGGAGCTGGGAGACATCAGAGCGGTGCCATCCCACATCCCGGTGCCATCCCGGGCATCTCCCTCCATCCTGGGGGAAAACCAGGCCAAACCAGGCAAAGATGGAGCTCGGCTTCCCCCAGCTCCCGCGTCCCCCCTCCCCGGGCCAAGCGAAGCTCCCATGGGGGCCCCCCATCCCAGACCCCCCCCCTTTCCCAGCACTATGTTTAGCGCAGCCGTATCGTCGCTGGGATGGAGCCCGGGAGTGATTCAGCCACGGAGCCTCGCGCCGGAGCAGGAACGGGGCCAGTGACAACGTGACCGGAGCCCCCCCAGCCCACCCCGGGGTGACAGCAGTGGGTACCACTCATGGGATGTCACCCCATGTCACCCCAGCGGGCGATTTGGGTGGCTGGAGCCGGATCTGGGCACCACACCAGGGGGTTTTGGAGCTGAAAACACAACGTTGAGGCCCAGGAGGTTTTGGGAGGCCGATGCCAAGCGGGTACCGGCTGCTCCGAGGCTTCAGCGAGCAAAAAACGGCCGTTTCCATCCCAATTTCTGCCAGGAAATCGCTGTGTCCCCTTCAGAGCACAGGCCCAGAGGAGTCAACAGCTCCTGGAGGCTTGAGAGGGGGCTCAGGGCTGGGCTGAAGGGCAGGAGAAGACCCCAGACCCCGGGGGGA